AATCTATCATCAGTCAAGAAACAAAAACTGGAAGAAGATCCAAGACGTCTCAAATGGATTAGGAAAGATGAAAGCGACTGTGATGATGAAAGCAGCCACGACGATGAATCTGAAAGCGAAACATCTCAAACAAGTGACGATTAGAAACATAAAAATAACAAAAACACCTAAACGTTATGCTCTGAGAAGTACACCGTACTAAATTTTGTAAAACGTTTTGAAGAAATAAATGCAATTTTAAAACTGAAATCTTGTGTAAATTATTGCCCGCAAAGCCCGATCTTTCCTATCCGCGCAACCCGCCCGCCTGAGTACAACTATGTCGTACATTAATATATGCATGCACCCAAGCGCCGCTAATGACCGACAATACATAACAACGTATATAGCAACAGCACATTTGAGTTAATATTTTATGACAAAATATATTACAACTGTTCTAAAAGTTTTTTCCCACACAATCAAAATGTACCATTTTTCGTAGTCGAAGAGGTAATAACTTTACCGTGTATACATGAACCAAGCGTTGTCAACTAAAGACTATGCTTCGAACGGACCGGCTTCGAGCCAAACTCCGAGCTATTTAGATTATATGCTTCGCTGTAAGCTTTCAAAGTTTCCGGTTATTTTGAATTAGGCTCCGAAATACATATACATTTTTCCGCGAAAGAACGCCTGTTTTTAAATCTTGCGAGCTGGGCTTGAACCAATGACCTAAGGAACTACAGTCCTCCGCTATACCAACTGAGTTATCGCAAGAGCAGGTTTTAATCACCCGAAAAAAAACAATCAAAATACACCAGGCCTGCCCGCGTTAATTGGTCGTGCTACCTGTCACGTTTGGCCCAGGCCTGCCCGCGTTAATTGGTCGCGCTACCTGTCACAGTTGTCCCAGGCCTGCCCGCGTTAATTGGTCGCGCTACCTGGCCCAGGGTTAGGGTTAGGGCCAGCAAAGTTACGTCACATATTTTGCATACTAATTACTTTCGGAGCAGCCTGACGTCATTGGCGGCATCCCTTTGAACTCCAGGGTGGGGGGTTTCACTACTAACATATATGTGTCATTATACGCCGCCATATGTAAATTTGAAAGACCCAGATATCTCTTGCGGACAGAATGTATAGCATTTCTCCTAACCGAAGCGAAATTTCCCTTCATATGCCATTTTTGACCGATATCCAAGCAATATATTATATCATTTTTCAAGCTTCCAAGTGTTTTCGCCTTGCCGAAATTGCCCGATAACTGCGCGTCATCTTGCCAGGCAAAAAATTCAGTTTAATATAAAGGAAAGTCCGTTTACTCCTTGAAGAATTCATGTCTGGTAGATATTTATGTTATAGTATAATTTTATTCGAAATAAACACATATGTCATATTATGGATAATTTTCACATTATAGTCAATATAGTATTGAGTACATTATCAGTTTTGTTTTTTTAGTAATATTGATTGCGGCTGATATAGGCTAAATCTATATTTATATGCATTATACTGCATAAGTTGCTAATCACAAATGTTCTGCGCGCGGCCTCCAGGGAAAACCTGACACTGAGCTAGAAATGTCTAAATTGTTTTATTTCGTTCCTTTAATGTTAATGAGAATGGCATTGAATATTTTGTCGATTGCTTTTACCGTTATACTGCAGTTATAAGTATCAACCGCTGCCCTTTTCAGATTTGGAATCTGAAAATGAAGTCATGAATCTGAAAGTGAAATAGTTTGCTCTGTTCGTTATAAATATGCTTCGGTCGGTAGCGATCAAATCCATTGGACATCGACACAGGTTTCCGAGTGTCCTGAAAGAAAAAAAAATTGAATCAACAACGAATGGTTGATAAGGTTTTTTTATATTATCAGTCAATATGAGTGGACTTTAATTAAGGGCATAGGACAGGACTTTAATTCGCGACATAATAGGTATGTGGATCGAACATGTGATACAGTGGAACTGCGATACAGTTGAACTGCAATAAAAAACCAAACATATTCCTTGTGATACAGTGGAACTGCAATAAAAAACCGAACATTGAAAACATCTTTGAAAACTAAATTTCATGTGTAATCAAATTATGCTGTACCTATTATGCTAATATAATTTTTCAAAAGAAACACGGGCCTAACTTGAATTTACCACACTAAATTCTGAACACTGACTTTAGATAACGTAAAATGTAATTTAAAAACTTAGGTATAATCTGACCCCGACACCTCCCAATGACAAAGTCTTCACCACTTCAGTGCCCATGTTTTGGGTTTGCAAGCTGTTATAATATTTAGGTTTTTGTTTCATATTTTAGCTACGTCTTTAGTAATTATTTGATGTATACAATTATCTAGCTATAAAGTAGATAGATTCTCACAAAAACAGTATCTCTTTTGGCAAAGCATTTTGCATGGTTGTAGAAATTTTCAACTCTGTGATGTTACTCTGAGTGTAGATCCACACCGGGCAAGGTGAAACGTTTGCCTTACCACGGTGGGAATCGACTCGCGACCTTTGGGATACTAGTCCAATGCTCTGCCAACTGAGCTACGAGGTCAAGTCGGTTCGAATTGGTGATATTTCGGAACTGAGTCTAGTTCCTTCGACATCAGTGTATTCTGTATGATACTTTTTGTGTGTGTTGGTGTTATGTACTCAGGTGAATAATGATGTTTATGAATGGCTTGCAATGATGTTCGCTTCTTCATGGTGTTGTCGCTTGTCAGTGATAGACCCTATGATTAAACTGTTCTTCAATTTCTAGGCTCCGTTAGAGATCAAATTGGACGATGGCAACAAAAAGAGATATAGCTGAAGATTGCAAATTTGGACCATATACTGCACCTGATTGTGGTATGCATTTATATAGATATGTTAAATTTCACTTTGTTTTGTTCTCTATTTTGTTGATGGGTTGTTTTGTGGATTTTGGTTTTTAATTTAAAATGTACATTACGCAAACTTATTTGTCAGTTTAGAAAGAGTTTGTTCTTAATTTAAAATATTGAGTTACAGTTATCTATACAGTTACAGATTGTGAAAAAGGTTTTGTAATACTATGTTTGGTTTATAGGCATTTAGTTCAATTTCTATTTGGTAATTTTAGATATTGAAGAACTTTGCATTGGTTGCATGGAGGCAGACATTATTTACAAGGCTCTCGCGAAGGTAACCTTAAACCTAAATATTCTTGTGAGTGAGTTATCAAATTTTACGCCCGCTACGTTGATGATACGCTAGTCCGCGCCAAACCATCTGATATCCCAATCATTCTACGAGCCTTCAATTCATTTCACCCTCAAATCCAGTTTACATTCGTAATTCATAATCTAGTAATCGTGATATTTTCTGCGTTGGTATAATGTACCAACACAGAAAATGTCACGATTACTAGATTACATTGATATCGAAGGAACTAGACTCAGTTCCGAAATATAACATACTCGAACCGACCTGACCGCGTAGCTCAGTTGGCAGAGCATTGGGCTAGTATTCCAAAGGTCGTAGGTTCGATTCCCACCGTGGCCAGGCATATTTTTCAAGCCTGCCCGGTGTGGATATACACTCAGAGTAACATCACAAGCATCTTATTCACCTGAGTACATTATACCAACACAGAAACGATTACTAGATTACATTGATATCGAAGGAACTAGACTCAGTTCCGAAATATCACTCGAACCGACCTGACCGCGTAGCTCAATTGGCAGTGAGAGCATTGGGCTAGTATTCCAAAGGTCGTAGCGGTAGGTTCGATTCCCACCGTTGCCAGGCATATTTTTCAAGCCTGCTCGGTGTGGATATACACTCAGAGTAACATCACAAGCATCTTATTCACCTGAATACATTACACCAACACAGAAAATATCACAATTTTCGATATGTTGAGAAAACATCAGCGGAGTGTAATGAAGACTCGTATTTGGCAATTTTACATCTCTCAAGAGTAGAATTGCATTGCAAGTTGCAAGAAAAATTGCACCGTGTAACATGGCCTTAAGCTCCGCCTTTAAATTCTTGGCTTTATAATAGCTGCATCTGTAATTTTACACTATTATTAATCCTGAGGATGACTACAAACTAGTCGAAACGTCGATTAAAAATCAAAATGTTATTCGGAGTTACTATTATTTTGTATTTTCTTAAAATACTGAGTGGTTCCCGTAAACACTCTAAACTCCTACCGAAATAACTTGCTTCGCCATGTGTGTTGGTTTTAAGTATTTGTTGAAAACTATAAGTAATGTATCCAGCCGTTCTTTTTTACTCTTTGTGTATTAGTAGCTCTTTGCATAATATGATGACCGGAAAATCCACAAAAGTCATCATTTATATACTGTATTTCTAGGTTTTATCGACTCATTCTTGCCTGAAGACTACAGAGATGGAAATACTATCGAGGTAATTAAAAGTGGTCCTAATTAGGTCTGTCTCAAAAGTCGCGCATCTCGTGTTCCGAACGCATTAAAAACAATAGCTATAGTCAGCTGAAATGCCTCATTATCTATATTGTTTCTAATGCGTTCGGCACACGAGAAGCGTGACGTTTGAAACAGGACTTAGCCGATTTATGAACACCAAGCACACTTTCTTGATCTATAATATTATTTAATTTATTACATTATTTGATATAATATAGAAACTGTTATAAATTATAAACAATTCACTGGCAGAAACAAACCAAAACTGAGGAAGCCATCCTGTTTTAAACGGGGCAATGATTTGTTGTCGCTATAAAGTATAAAATAAATTAGTGAAACATGTTATGTCACGAGCTAGGCATAGTGTTTATCTCGACAGCCACTGGTCAATATGATGACATCAAAACTATACCTTTGTAGCTGTTAGCAAATTTGGAATTGGGTAACAACATTATTAAACATCTATTTGTCGCTATTCAGTTATATACCCATTTATATCTGGTCTGCAAAAGGGTGGACACACTCGCGCCGCGAGGACCTCTGGGCCACGCCAATGCCTGGAATAGTTTTATGTATGAGTACATTTACTCAGCTCAAAAATTGTTCCAAGATGGCGGACAGCTCATTATCTTTCATCGAAATATTTCAAGAAATATAAGAGGGTTTTAATGTGATTTAAAAGTTCTTTCAAATAAAACAAACTAGAACGTTTTGTCATATCTGTTTAATTACACCCACTTAACATGAATGAATTTCCTACAACAAATATTTTTTGACAATTTTGTTGTTGTTTGCGTTTACTGTCCAATTTGTGGCAAGTTGTCCATGCAGACCGAAAGCAGCCAAAGTTGCTGTGTACACGAGAAAAAAGTTGTCGAAGAAAATTTGTTCGTGTAGAAATTTGTAATGACAGAAAGATGGTTCGTAACCAAATACTTAAAATATAAAAATATATTTGTGTAACAGTCAGACCCAGCCGACTTGATTGAAACTGCAAAACGGGCTTTGGAAAAAGGAGAATTAGAGATCGCTAAAAATTACTTGATCAGCGCCATTCGCACAGTTATGTTGGACAACTCATACAAAAGAAGTCCAGAGCCGTATCGTTACTTAGCTGAAGTCCTAGAGAGAAAAGCAGAAGACAAGAATTTAGAGTTGCCGCAGAGACAACAATTTCTGCTTCAAGCTGCAGCATTGTATAACTTTGTGCGCAACTTTTTAAAAACAGAGGACGTGGAATACGAACTGTCGAAAACGCTGTCGAAAATCGTCTCGCGTAAGCTACTTGATATCCAAGACAGCATGGTTGAAATGGTTGGAGGAAATCCTCTTCACTGTAAATTTGATTCAGAGCTTAGAGAAAATGAGCTGAAAAATTTAAGGAATGAGGTAAAAAAATCCTTGGAGTTTATGGAGTGCCGTAGATCGTCTAAGAACCAAGAATCATTGAACAAATGTGATGTGCGACAGATGCTGAAAGATGAAACCGAGGAGATAGAAAGACTATCTGATACAATTTCGGTTGGAATGAAGCTGTTCTTGGCAACGATAATTAACGAATGTTTAGAGTTACTTGGAACACCACCTTGTGATCATGAAGTCATTGTCCTTGGATCTTTAGCAAGAAATGAAATGACGCCATACTCCGATTTCGAATGGGCTATTCTCACAAACTCAGAAGAGGAAGAATGTAAAGTTTTCTTTCGAAATTTAACAAACTTGGTTCATTTGCAGGTAGGCCAAGTTTTTTGTAGTTGTATAATATTCAGTATTCTTACGTAATCTTAGAGAGAAAAAAGTGGAAACGAATCCAGGTGAGGAAGTATACCAAAGAAGGAAATATAATTGAGCAATCGTTACCTTATACTTTAGATTATCAACCTTGGAGAAACCATTTTACCTAGTATGAATGTCGAAGCAATTAATGAGGGATGGTTTTATGATGACATAACAACAAGAGGAGTTTCGTTTGATGGGTTTCTTCCACAAGCGTGCAAGACGCCTTTAGGAAATACGCCGGAATTTGAGCTGATTCATACACCAGAGAAAACGGCAGATTCCCATAACAACGATTGTTATCGCAAGAATTGGAAACTAGGAGACACCTTGTTGACCTTTTCCCCTCTGCAACCGGATAAGCATATATTGGTTGATGCTTATCGGAGGGAGATGGCTAAAATCTTGTCTTGTCCTTGTGTTTCAAAATGTTGTAAACATGATACTTCGTGTGGTGCTTGGCCTACCCGGGGATCCTGCCGAGGGCTGAGTACTCTTTGCGAAAATGTGTCTCGTTTTGGGGATGTGTTGACCGGCAGTAACGTCTTGGACGATGGAAAAATACATGATGTCAAAAAGAAAATTTATCGTTTAACAGACCGTGTATTTGCTGCACTGGCGAAATGTTATGAAGTTGATGCAAGCGGAACTTTTGCCATACTTGACGAACTTTACAGGAGGGAAATAATTTCATCGGAAGCAAGAGATAACTTTGCTAGTGCTGCGGCCATTGCACTTAAGCTAAGAATAAGTACTTACCTTAAAGCTGGAAAACAAGGGGAACAGCTCATGGCAAGTTCAAAGGAAGAAACAGGGAAGTTGACTTCCGTTTACTATATGCCAAATAATGAAGAACTGTTTCACTTTTTCTTTATTGCCATTCGTTTGTATGAAGAGTTACAAAAGTTGAAGGCAGCCGGAAACATACCGCTGTCGCTTACACACAGTTCATTCTATGACGATTCTGACGTCACGATGGGTCAAGACCAGGGTCATATATATTGTCGCTTGTTAAACTACGACAAAGCTCTTAAATCCTACGACCGTACTCTTCAACAGGATCCAGAAAATCTGAGTATTGAAATCCGTCGAATAAGTATTGCACTTTGTATTACAAAGGGCACAGAAGAAATGGATAAGATTCGAGAAAATTTGGATACCTTGTTGTGTAAGATAGACCAAAGTTGGTCCGAGCCGCATCAGGAAACCACACTATTTGTCAATCGCTTGGACTTCGAGGAAATTCGGCAATTGCTAGAAGTATTGCCTTTGGCTTCCTCATTTTTTGATTGTCCAAAATATTTTGAATTGGCAGGAAACATTTTGTTCCAAAATAGCACTGTATTCGTTGGAAGCGAATACAGTTGTAGAAGAGAATTGGTTGAATTGGCCATGATGGTAATCGCGTTTCAAAGATATTTACCTGAGAGTACTGATCAGCAGCACCTAATTGACACCGTAACTTCTGAAATATCACCTTTAATTGACGAAGAAGGTGCGAGCACTAAAAGTATTCTATGGTTAAATTGGCTTGGTAAGTTTCTATTTGAAATGCGTAAACTTGACAAGGCTTATCATTGTTTTCAAAGAGCATTGAGTATGGAGCGTCTCCTTTACCAAACCAAACCAAACCAAACATAAATATGATGACATCTTTATATTTTCTTGGGATGACGTCATTTTACTTGTCGATGTGTAGGGAAAGCAAATTTTACTTCGAATCGATGGTGCAACTGTTTGAATCATTTGGTGGACCTAACGCTAGGTTAATGGACGTTAAGATAGCTTATTTGCACTTGGCTTTGGCGAGCCAGATATTGGGAAATTCTGCGGAGGAATCTGTGTGTTACTTCGAGAAAGGTATAAAGGCAACCACAGGCAGCCAAAATGATGCAGAATTAAGATTAGATTGTTTTATCACTACTGTTACTTAGCGACTACATGGCATGCTCAACACAACCAAGAGCAAGCTTGGAAGTCTGCTTTGGATGGAAAAGCCTGCCTGGGAAAAATTGTTGGGGTACAAGACAGAGCACACATGACTTGTCAGCTCGCTGAGACCTTGGCTAAAATACAGAAAACAAATGAAGGAATTGAAATATTGGAGGAATTTACTTCCCAGTCTCAGATGAAAGGAAAGGCCTTGTGTCTGATGAAGCTTGGTAAACTTTGTGTAGAGCAAGGTTTGGCGTCAGATGCTGAGAATTATTACAAACAAGCGCTAGAGGTTATGGATATGCAGGATAATAAGGATATTTTTGTCATCTTGGAGTGTCGTATTGGCATTTCAAAAGCGATTATCATGGATAACAGGGTATCTGAAGCAAACACAATTTTGGATGAAGCTTACATTTTAGCCAAAAAATTGCATGCGAGTTTGGAGAAAATTTATTTTGTTGAAGATATGGGAAAATTCTGCGAAAATTTTGGTTACATCCGTCGTGCTCGAGAATGCTTTGATGAAGTATTAAGAACGTACAAGGAGCTATCGAACGTCGCCAAAAAACCCCCGTTCATGGAGGTTTCATTAGAGCTGAAGCTTGGAAAGTTGGCGGAGAAGGCTTGTGCTATTGCATGTCTCAGTCGACCTTGAAATTGCGCTGCAGGCTCAGCGAAGGCATTATGATCGCGCGGCTGAAGCCAGTGCTGTAGAACTAAATTTACCAGAGGGGGGCTCCCTTGACGAGAGTGAAGCCGTAAAATCGTAAAAATATGCGTGACGCC